TTACTATTACTTATCATTAGTGTCATCAACATCATAGTGATGTTAATGATGACAATCATCACCCTTAACATCACTGTCATCTTCATTATCACCATTAACATCACTATCATCATCATTATCATCATTGACATCACTATCATCATCATTGTTATCATTAACATCACTATCATCATCATTATCCTCACTATCATCATCATTATCACCATTATCATCACTATCATCATCATTATCATCATTAATATCACCATCATCCTTATCATCAACCAACCTTCCTCAACCATTGATAAAACTCTGCAATCTCTCGGAGTCACGTGTCACGCACTTGGAGTCTCTCACGAACCACTCAAAGGCATCGAACGTTTTTGTCGTGTTGTCGCTGTGCAAACGTTCACACATGGCGCAGAAAACGTTTGCTGTGTAGATCTGACGGTTTTGTAACTCGTAGTACGGTTTCCATGGGGGGGGGGGGAGTGAAGGGAGAGGGGAGGTGGGAGGGAAAGGAGAGATAGGAAACGGAGAGGGGAAGTGGGAGGGAAAGGAGAAAGATAGGAAAGGGAGAGGGAGAGAGGGAGGAGAGAGAAGGTAGGAGGAGGGAAATGAAATAAGGGGGAGGGAGACGGGAAAGGGTGAGGGGGAGAGATGGAGGGGAGAGAGAAGATGGGAGGAAGGGAAAGGAAAGATAGGAGGAGGGAGAGGGAAGGTAAAGAGAAGGTGGAAAAGGAAAGAGGAAAGGGAAGATTTAGGAATAGGGTAGGAGGGTTAGTAGGAGGAGGGAAGGGAATAGTATAGGGAGGGGGAGAGGGAGGGATGGGGATGGGGTGGGATGAAGGGAAGGGAGAGGAGCAAATAGGGGAGGGAGAAATATAGAGAGGAAGAAGGTAAAATACAGATAGATAGAGGAAAGGGAGAGAGGGAGGGATATAAGGATAGTATTAGTATAGTGATAGATAAATAATGCAGATAGTGATAGATAAATAAATAAAGATTTAGATGTAATTGTATATGAAATATAAACAGTTGTATTGTTTCAATCTACGCATTATGAATGTATGTACAGATAGATAGATAAATAGGTAAATAGATAGATATAAATAACTATTAGCATTAACAATAAAATGGGAAAAAACATATCACTCTATCCATCTAACTATCTGTTTACAAAAACACACAAACATACACACACACACACACACACACACATACACACACACACACACACACACACACAAACAAACAAACACAAACAAACACACACACTCCCCACACACACAAACAACCCCCCCCCTCCCCTCCCTCCTCCCCCCCACACAAACAAACAAACAAACAAACACACACACAAACACCCCCAACTCACCTAAAATACTCATAATAGGCTGTATCATTCTTATCCAAATAAAGGACATATTCGGCGAGGTCCTTTACAGTCGGGAAGGAAGGACAAGGCATCGATGAACGAGTGAGGAGGAGCGATGGCTGAGTGATTAGGTAATCTGTTGACGACGGGAATGACGTCATAACTGTGATTGGAGAGGGGGGGAGGGAGGGAAGGGTGGTGCTAGTGTTGTTGTTGTTCTTGTTGTTTTGTTGTTTTGTTGTTAGTTTCTTTTTTTTTTCTTTTTCTTTCTTTCTATCTCTTTCTCTCTCTTTATCGGTCTATCTGTCAATCTTTCTCTCTCTCGCATTCTCTCTCTCTCTCTCTCTCTCTCTCTCTCTCTCTCTCTCTCTATCTATCTATCTATCTATCTATCCATCTATCTATCTATCTACCTCTCTCTCTCTGTCTCTCTCTCTCTCTCTCTCTCTCTCTCTCTCTCTCTCTCTCTCTCTCTCTCTCTCTCTCTCTCTCTCTCTCTCTCTCTCGTGGCACCGTGAGTGACCCGTGTGCGTGACTGTTTATTTTCAAAGGACAGGCACTCAGGTTGGCCCCTTCGCGGTCGGGGGAATGGCCGCGACCGCAGACGCGACGATGGAAACCGAGGGGAGGTACAATGCTCTCAGTGAGGAAGACATTGGTGGGGCCCCCGAACGAATGAAAAAAAAAGCAAAGAGGCAGCTATCTGCTTCGGTGGAGGTAACACCTCCAGGACACTTATGCGCTCATTTTAAGAACGATTCAAAATTGCGCACACACGGTGACAAATATCGCTGGGTCTCTAAGGCCCTAAAAATGGACCCTTATAATAAAACATACGGATCCATTGAACTTAAAATTGGAAGAAACAACGTATTTGTCAGATGCAAGAACGAAGAAATCCTTGATCAAATAACATCTATTGGTGCATGCGGCGAAGTACTAGTAAAAGCCAAAGTGTTCGGCAAGGGAAAATGCACGAACATCATTGTGTTCGATGTCCCAAGGGAAATCGAAACACAAGAAATGACAACCTACAACGAACGGATCATTCATGCGAGGCGCATGAAGACAAATGGAATGATGACCCAGAGAGTCATCATAACTTATGAGGGGGAGGTAATCCCCAAAAGCATCAAAATGGTCGAG